CAAAGCATTGACGTAACTGCCGTGAGGGTTGCGCGCTAAAGCGTGTGCCGTAGAAAACGTCACTTGCGACTGTTGCAAATCAAATCACGGCTTCCATTATCACGCAGAAAGTCCAGTCCGAGAATTAGGTCCCTCGAGCAACTCGGCAGTATTACAAAATCCTCCGAGTACGTGAAATCCGTGAATACTGGACTCGCGCTGTGCACTGCCCCACCGGAGTAAGAAGATGGCCTCCTGCCGTACGTATCTGCAACCCAGCCCACTGGGTTACAAACCTCTTCAGCCTGCAGGCAAGACCATGCTCATAACGGAAGTGTCTGCTCCATGTGTCAATTAGCGCCATTACTTCTTCGTCGTCCACAGTTACCCAGCAATGTTTGATGTCACCACTCCTCGCATCACGTTTGACTGCGTCTGTACATCTTTTTTGCTGTTGTCGCTGTCGTCGTAGTGGAGGATCTTCCGTAGAGTCAGCGTCAGCGGCCTCACCTCCGGAGGTTGCTGAACTCAGTTTTCCCGACTTGCAGGACTGGGTGAACGGCGTCTTGGAGCGCCGCATGAATAGGCCGGGCTCGGTGACCTGTAGCGAGTAGGCGACGATGAGCGAGGCTCTTGTGACCGATGTTCGATACTGCGACGATTCGAGACGAAACTCTCTATTTCCTGTGGTCACTCGCCAGGTCGTGGACGAGGGCATTAGGCGAAAATCCACGGAGACCCACATGACGGTATGGACATGTTCGGTAGACGTGTCCGGCTTCCCCGCAGTGGAATACAAAGGGACCTGTGGTCGGGTGTACGCCAGATGTCACTCTTTCTTGGTCTTGCTTTGGTGATCAACGGTGAGCTGCGAGGGTGGAAGCCTACCTCCATTTGCTGAGCGTGTCGCTCATTGGAGTAAATACGCTGGTTGAACAGCACGATGGAGGACGTCGCACTGCTTCCGCGTAGCTCATCTCGACGCAGTGCCTCTGTTGTGGCGCCTCGGATGGTTGGGGAGCGTGAACGGCTTGCCGTAGCTCGGCGCGTACCATCTCTGCAATGGAGAGCTGCTCTGCAGGTGAAGCAGTCACCTGCATCTTTTGTAGCGCTTCCTTAATGAGAGCTCTGATAAGCTCTCGCAACGCGCTGATGTCATTGCCGAGAGTGACAGAAGTGACCTCACTTGGGTTTACACCACGGTTATACTGCCTGGCACGCTGTTGAAGGGCCCTCTCCATGGCAGTGGCTTCCTCATGGAACTCCGCAAGTGTCGCAGGCGGGTTTCGAATCAGGCCGGCAAAAATTTCTTCTTTAACACCACGCATTAGGTGGCGAACTTTCTTGGATTCGGACATAGAGGGCTCCGCACGCTTGAAAAGCCGATCCATGTCCTCTACGTAGGTCGTCACCCTTTCGTTAGGGCCTTGAACCCTTGCCTCTATAGCACGCTCCGCCGTCTCTTTCCTGTCCTCTCGGGCAAATGCCTTGAGGAACTGCCGTCGAAACTCATCCCATGTCGTAAGCGCTGCTTCATGGATCTCAAACCACGTTTTCGCGGAGTCCTCCAGGAAGCAGTACACATAGCGTAGTTTACGCTCTGGGGTCCAATCGTTGATGATGGCAACCCGGTTAAAATGCTCGAGCCAGTCGTCGGCATCTTCAAAAGCAGCTCCATGAAATGTCTTCGGCGTCTTGGGCTGGTTGATAACCAGGTGCGCTGGTGCTGGCACGGTGACGTTAGGCGGTGTTTGATTCATAGTCCTCTGACGTTCAGGCAGCAGACTGTGCTGTGGCTCTAGTCCCTGAAGACGACGGCTGGAACGTACGTGCACAGGGGTAAGCTCGGCTGAGATACTGGATGGACTTTCGTCAGGGGTGCTCTCGGGGGACCGTATCATCTACCGTACCCAGCACTTTCACCAGAAAATGTCACAAAGACACAGGCACGTAGGTACAAAATAGGGCGTTTACTTTCGTAACCCAAGGGCCAGAAACGCGAACATCAGAGCACGCGCACACAGAACTACTTCGTTGTCCTCTTCAGAGGCTGGCTACTATAGTTGCCAGCCTACCTTGCGTCAATATGACTAATGTAAGGAAAATCGCGAAAAAGAGAGCAACGAGAAAAAAATAGCAAGGTCAAGTTGAGAAATTTTGAGACTTCAGGTGTTGTGATTACTACTCAGCTGCGTTTGCTTCATTTTGCCATTTGGAATTTTTTGGGGGAGTAATAAATAATAATTATTTGATTGAAGATCACAAAGATATACGTTTGGATGCCTATGGCATAGTGCTTCGTTATCGGTGGGCCTTGAAACTACGCACTCGTTGCGCAATTCACATGATGTGACGCCTGATGCCATTATACGCTTCTGCCTAGAGATATGACATGTGTTGGAAGGAACATGTTTAATTACGCACGTGCCTCCGGGTCTTTTATGGGTGGTGCCACCAAGTTCATAGGGAGCCTTAGCGCTCCATTCTTCATTTTTTCAGAACATTAAATATTTTTTGCCCCTGTCACAGTATTTCACCTGTTCTAGCATAGACAGTGATATAAAATGCGAAGGATATTTTTACATACAAATGTTACTTTGACTGGATCCATCCATCCATCCATCCATCCATCCATCCATCCATCATCCATCCATCCATCATCCATCCATCCATCCATCCATCCATCCATCATCCATCCATCCATCCATCCATCCGTCCGTCCATCCGTCCGTCCATCCACTCTATCTATCTATATATATCTATCTATCTATCTATCTATCTATCTATCTATCTATCTATCTATCTATCTATCTATCTATCTATCTATATCTATCTATCTATCTATATCTATCTACTATCTATCTATCTATCTATCTATATATCTATCTATCTATCTATCTATCTATCTATCTATCTATCTATTCTATCTACTATCTATCTATCTATCTATCTATCTATCTATCTATCTATCTATCGATAATCTATATCTATCTATCTATCTACTATCTATCTATCTATCTATCTATGTGTCTCCGCTTTTGTGCTCTTGTCCATGTCAGCCTGGCTTTGCACATGCCAAAATCGGCTTGGTAAGAACTATAGTTTTCGACGGGATGAAGCGCTAAATAACGGCATGGTAAAAAAAAAAAAACGCCAGGCCTGCGCGAAAGTGCAGCAACAGTCACAGCGAAAGCTAGAAGAGTGGCCTTTAGAGCCTCTTCTAAACAGTCGTTGGGCAACTGCTATAAGAACACTTGCCTGATGCCCATTACGGAATTAATAATAAACTATTTGGGTAGTAGGCTGGCATTTGCTGTGCTATTTTCATCATTTTTTTGAAATGCGTGGTATCCGCTAAACTATTGAGAAGAATTTTGTGCCAATTGCTCATGAAGTGGCAGACGACGATGAGGAATTAGGCCTGAGGTGGGTATGCGCCACAGTTAATACTAATAGTAGAACAAAAAAGCTTTTGTAATGGGTTGGATCATTGGACGACCCACTTGTTACAATATTCACATTGTGCGAGGACTGGTTGTTCTATCGCTCTTTTAAAGTGCTTTATAAGTCGTAATAACGCGATTGCTTTCCCGACACTATACCTGCCTAAGGAAAGTTGCCTGGTGGCAACTTCCCTGCGGTTGCCTGGGTTGGTAACCCTGCGGTTGCCTGGTGGCAACGTCAGAATAATGCCTTCCCCTGCTTTTACATCCTTCACGTAAAGCAAAGTCCATGGTGTACCACTGAACCGGAGAATGTTGACAACCGCATTGTTACCGCCCTATTATTTCACCCTCACATTCCTCTTGGGAGACTGCGCCGAACAGCTCAGAGCCGCAAGAGCAGCATCGACTGATCCAGCGGGCAATAGGTGTGGTGCGAGCCATTGGGACCCTGAACTAAGGGCTCCATCCAGTGAGGAC